TAATAATAATAATAATAATAATAATAATAATAATAATAATAATAATAATAATAATAATAATAATAATAATAATAATAATAATAATAATAATAATAATAATAATAATAATAATAATAATAATAATAATAATAATATAATAATAATAATAATAATAATAATAATAATAATAATAATAATAATAATAATAATAATAATAATAATAATAATAATAATAATAATATATAATAATAATAATAATAATAATAATAATAATATATAATTAATAATAATAATAATAATAATAATAATAAATAATAAATAATAATAATAATAATAATAATAATAATTAATAATAATAATAATAATAATAATAATAATAATAATAATAATAATAATAATAATAATAATAATAATAATAATAATAATAATAATAATAATAATAATAATAATAATAATACCATAAACTCGCTACCCTCGCTAACACCGTCGTTGTAGTCTTAGCGCATTTGCCTTCATTAATTTGGGAGACAATGAAGTATAGCTTACAGGAAATTACAAACAGTGATATTTTACATTTATTTATTGGCATATGACAAAAAGCAGTTGATATTCTTCATTTTAGACTCTTAAGACATACCAAACCAAACATAAAACTAATAAATCTCACTTGGAAGCTAATTATAGTCTTGATTTACCCATGTTGGTTTAAACCCTCTTATTAAAAAGGTTCAAGAAAATTTTAATATATTGTGGAGTTATCTATGATTCTCTTGATGGGGAAGCATCTACAATAATATAAAGAATAAATGTGAAGTCCCTTATATACATCCGGTCCAGAAAATTAAAAAGCTTGAGGAGACTTCTTGGTAAAACTATAAAAGTGTAAAAGAGGAATGAGAACATTTTTAAGAGAGAATAACATTCAACAATGTCTTGTGGACGAGTGTGAATGAAAAACTTCCTACCAGGGGCGGAGCTAGGGGGTGGCCACCCCTGGCCCTGGCCCAGCCCAAATTTTAAAAATCTCTATATTTTTAGTGTAAAAAATTCCGTGTGAATTTTTTTCCAAAAATATTCTTTGTACCCGGCCCAGTCCGGCCCAGTGTCCTGGCTCCGCCCCTGCTTCCTACCAAATTTCAATAGTCTAGTTGGATCGGATTTAAAAATATCAGATTATATTTAGACAATAATTACATACTCCGTATATTAATACCCATGGTCCAAATGTTCACACGAGAAAACTAGACCATATACCAAATGTAAATAGAGCTGACTAAACATGGACAAATTAAATTATACGAGAAAAATTGAATCTATTAATTGTTGAAGTCTTCAACTATTGTGCAAGCATGATCACATCCCATTGGAAAACCTTACGGCCTGTTTGGATTGAGTGTTGAGGAGTGTTAATCATGGGAAGTGTTAGTAAGTGTTGATGCTAACACTTGTTTTGGGAGAAAAAATCAGAGGTGTTAAGAAGTGTTAGTAATGGTTAGGAAGTGTTAATAATAACCTTCCCAACACCTCAATGTCCATTTTTTTAACACCCCCGATTTGGAGTGTTTTGAGGTGTTGGACAATTATTACCCTTCTCATTTACCCGAAAAAACATAAAATGTTTCGACATTTCACTTCGAATGTCTTTCCCACGGGTCTGATGGTTTGTTTTTTCATCTCTTCTCTTTACTCTTTCTTTAACACTTCCATTATTAACACTTCATTCATTTGACTCTCTCAAAGAAGTTAAAATTATGTCTAACACTTACACTTCCCTTCCGAGCCCTTACTAACACTTCCAAACACTCCATCCAAGCTAAGCAGGCCCTTACTTGCGGTCATAGAATATAAATGAACCGTATGATTCAATGAACCTTATTGTCTGGCTTTCACTATCCTGTCGATCCAATTATTTCCAATAATTTCAAAGACCACATCCCAAAATCTCAAAAGAGATCAGATATTATAAATTACAACCGTGGGTTCTACTAGCTAGTGAAGTACTCCGTAAAAGTCAAGTGTACCGCTTTCTGATTTCGTATATGGTACACCTGATTCTATGATATACGAAATACGTAGTATAGTTAAGAACATTTTTGTAATTTTAATTTTTTTTGGGCAAATTTTGTAATTTTTATTAAAAATTGTGATTTCTCTTAATTAAACATTAACGCACTTCTATTGAGTATCGTGATCTATGATATACACATGATCTATGTTAGCTTCGTATCATATAATTCTCTTTCTTTTTCTTATTTCACTTTTATAAAAATTTGTTAAATTATATCATTTGAAATATGTATTGATATGTAAATTATAAGCTCTGCTAATTGAACATCAAATTATTTTCAATGAGTATCAAACATCCTTTATTGAAATATGCATTAATATCTAAGATATGTAAAAAAAATCACAATTAGAAAAGGCTTAGTGAAATATATTCTAAACAAAACTATAAATATATTCTAAACAAAACTATTATGTAGAACAAATCAAACCTATGTTAACATTGCATTCAGATGCAACAAACAATAAAATATTTCATCAAAAGTAGAATGAACTTTCACTTTGAAATTTTTTCAAACAGTTGGTGGGCATTTAATGTTTATAAATTGTTTTAAACAAACTGCAATATAATTAGTGTAACAGACAGAGTTGTTTTTAATAAAATTTTCATCTCAATTGATCCAATTTGAAATTCTGAGTTAATTTTAGATTTAAATTAGGAAAAGAAAGAAAAAGAAAAAGAAAAGTAGAAAGTATGAGGGGTGGGATTCAAACGGCCTCTGAGAATTGTATGAGATTTAATTTACCCCGCTTTATTACTAATTATAAACAAGAAATAATAATGACCTTTATATTAGGGGTGGGATCGGTCCGGCCTGGATCAGGGTTTTGCTAAACCCGGGACCGGAACACAGCCCATTATATTCGGTCCGAGTCGGGTTTTGGGTAGCCCGGGTTCGGGTTGGGCCGGTTAAAGCCCGAATGTGAAATATCTCATTGTTCTTTTATATTTTAACACCTATTTTCAAATAAAATTAATCAAAAATACAAACCGCAAATAATGACACAAATATTAGTCTCCAATATCACCAACAATTCAAATCCAAAGAAGATAATTATCTTAATATTTTATTAAAGATGCATATAAATAAATAATATAGGTTTCTTAAAAATATTACGAAATAAAATTTACAGATAAATATATATGTGACTAGAGTTGCTATAAATATATTTGCATGGTCATTACGCTAAACAAATTGAACATATTTGTAGCCACTAAAAGTTACTAAATCATTTTTTATCCACCATGATTATAATCATATATTAGGAAATATTTATAAATTTATATTCATATACGTAGTATTATATTAATGTTATATTAAAGCTAATATTTTTGGGCTTTAATCGGTCCGGGCCGGGTTATAGATTTTAAGGCCCGTTAATGAGCCCGGAATTTCAAGTTCGGTCCAGGTTTTCTTTAATTCGGGCTGATTAAACATAAAAAACCCGGACCGGAATCATAATTCGGGTCGGTCTAGGGTCGGTTTTCGGGTTTCGGTTCGGTTTTTGCCACCCCTACTTTATATGCCTACTTTAAATACGCAAGATAAAAACGAGATCACTTAAGGCATTCAATAAACTCATTTAATGCAAGATTTTCCATAAGTGAAAATAGAGATCATGGTTGAGGTGGTTGATAAGCTTTGATATTAATTAGGATTTTTTTTATGATAGCTCACTAGTAAATCGCTAGATGTATTGTAGAGAGGAGAAGCTAAGAGAGTAAGAGTTAGGGAGAGAAATTAATCTTATAATAAACGATTTTAGAACTTTTTACATATTGCCCAAGGGAGTACTTATAAGTTGGACTGATTCAGGCTTCTTGTGTATCCTAGAGTATTTGGGTTGTGGACCTAGACCATTATTGTGTAGTCTAGTAGCATTATTATCTCAATATGATAATAAAATTTCAGACCGATACTAGTGACTCTTATTCAAATAAAAAAACATACTAGTCCTATTTAGGACAACTTATAATACACACATATCTCATCCCAAAAATCACACCACAACTTAGCCATACTGGCGTACTGGACGGAAGAGGCGAAGACTAGCCATAATTGGCATGTGTCACCCTAGTTAAATACTAGTATATTTGTTCCTTTTCAGTTACAAAGGTTTAACTAATACAATTATCAACACACATCTGTCACCATAAGTATACGATATTTAATTATGTGATATTATTAAAATGTTAATATCATCAAAACATACATTAGGAGAACTTTAATAACGTCTTATATAAAAGATGTGTATATATAGATAATCATGGCAAAAGCAAGATATGATCATATGGATAGTTTGAAAATTAAAGGGTTGCAATTAGTAAAGAATGGATGAAAAACATGAAGAATATCACAAAAGCTAACCATAAGAGCTAAAGAGCCAATTGCTGACTTCAGAAAATTGTGAAGTTTATATGCAATACTTGTAATGAAGATTTATACAAGTATTAAAATTATTGATAACCTGGATCATTTTTTTGGAGATTTGACCCACTTCTACTCCAAACAATGTGAAAAACAAGCATGGAAGACTGGAAGTGTTTATTGACCGATATATATTAAATTTCATTAAAATAAAGATGAAATTGATGTATCGTTAATAATGAAAAAACATGATCTAGATCAAACGACTCGACACAAATTGACCTATATAAAACGAGACTATAAAAAACCAGACTGATAGAAGTAGTGAAGAGTATTAAGGTTCTCAAATCTCAAGTATCATCATTACCAAGGAGAGTCAAAACCAAAACATTCTTTCTGCCCCCATAATTGAGCAGATGTAACGTACACAAAAAAGCAGCCCTTTCAGGGTCGACGATGGAGATGGAATGTGGACTACATTATTATTATTATTATTAGAATTTGGAAGTATGGGAGGAAGAAGACAAAGAAGAGATGTTTTAAGAAGATGATTGCTTGGTGTAGAAACGGATGCCAACAGCAACCCCAAGAATAACCAAAGGGACTAAGAACTGCAAGAGCTTGATGATGAACTCGGGGGTCTTGTCCTGGTTGTAGTGAGGCTGCTTTGGAGGTTTGTAGCTGGTCTTGGCGGGAATGGTTGTGGAATCAATTTCACCAATATACATTTCCTTCATCGTTTCCCGGGCACTGGTGCTGTGACCCACATCCTCAAAGTCATCAGTCGCATCCTTCCCTGCATAAAAACATTGAATATACATGTAGGTTTTGGATCATTTCTAACACATATTGCCTGCCGGTTTGACAAGCGAACTTTCGTTTGACCTTTCATCCGAAAATGGAAAGTTTGGTTTGAATTCTCAGACAATGGTATCTTCAAAACACAAACTCATTTCGCTATGCAACTGGATTGGAGGATAATAATCAATAAAAGAAAAGTACATGAGTTGCTCTTTTTTCTTTCTAAAATACTTTGTATGTAGTAATTCTCAGACATTTACCCTTATTTTCAGTTACTGTTTTCTTTTCTCAGAGATTTACCCTTATTTCAACACAAAACATTGTATTGAAATTCCCGCTAATACAATCATTTCAGCCACCATTTCAGCATCTTTAAGTCGTTTACCCTAAAACAAAATGAGTACTTAATAGGTTAACCTCAGAACATTCTGTACTAACGAGAAAAAGGATACCATCATACCAGTTGCTGACAACAAAACATCATCACCACCTGGATGGTCTTCCAAGAATTTTGTCACATCATATATCTGCAAGAGAAACGCAAAAGTGAAATTAGAGGATTGAGAAAGCATTGGTCGGATAAGAGGAGTTTCTCGCACTGAACTAAAGATGTAATGTGGGACCATTATCCAAAACGGTAATCAATAAATGTGATTATGCTCGAAACTACATTAACCCTCATCTTAAGTCATTTTTCATACCAAATTTAGGTGTGTGTATATATAGTCCTACTGTTCATTTAGAGCATAATGTTGCAATCTATACAATCTCAGATGCAGAAGAACAAAACAAAACCAAAAACAAGTACATAGTACATCCAACCATTTGCACCATTTTCAAACCAAAATCGGTGTAAATATCAAGTCAAGCTGTACTAGTCAATAGCCACTATAAACATTTGCAGACTTTTATAACAAAAAATCTTCAATTCTCTATATTCCATTTCGCCCACTTCTAGATGCATAAAAACAAAGTGGAAGAATATGGTGTATGAATATGGTGATGCACAATTCACATTTCACATTGTACCAATTCTATTTAAATGTGCAACTTTGATGCAAAGCATGATCTGATGTTTGACACTAAGGGGGTGTTTGGATCTGATTCTTAAAACTAGGGGGTGTTTGGATCTGATTCTTAAAACTGCTTCTGCTCATTGGGAGCAGAAGCAGAAGTTGGAGTGTTTGGATAAAAGTGCTGAAGTGATTCTGGTGCTCTAATTTACTCCTAGAATCAGTTTTTTTAAAAGCTGGGGGAGACCAGCTTCTGAAAACTGATTCTGATTCTGTTTCAAAAAAGAAGCAGAAGTAGAATCAATTCCAAACACCCCCTAACTTCGTATTAGATGCACACATACTACATAAGATTTGTGTACAACTGCTTATCACAAATAGAAGGGTCGGAATTCTTTCAATCCTTTTACAACTATAAAGAAATATTACACAGCAGTTTCAGTTTAAGTAAATGTAAAAACTAAAGGATCATTCTTTTCCATCTGCGCAGTTATGAAAATCCAACTAATAGGATGGATCAAGAAAGGAGCATAACTGTGCACGCCTAACTGAAAACCTATGAAAGGGTTTGTCACGGAAAAGGAATTAGGTTTCTTTTGGCGCTTTTCCGGCTCAATTTGCTCTTTTTTACTCTACTTATTTGGCCAAAATGGAAGGTTTTAAGGGATTATTAAACAAATCAAGCCAAATAACTCTTTTAAAGCAGACCCTTAAGCACTGAAAACCACATACACAAACAAGCAGAACACGAATAACGCAACGATATACAAGTGAAATAGAAAAGTTGGATCTCTTATAGATCTGAGCAGTAAAAGAAAGACCTGAAATTCATACTTGGTTGATCGAAAGACTAAATCTACATTGAAAAAACCAACAAATCCGATGGAAAAGTGGGAGACTGACCTTGCCGCCGATGAGGAGCCAACAGTCCTTGTTATGGTTGTGTTCTGAGATCTCGGCGAGAGAGTAAACCTTGCTGTCACCCATTTAGTTAGACTAAGAGATGAGAATGACGAGAGACGCGAGGAGTAGTGTTCTCTTATAACTTTATGAGCAAAATCAACAAAGAATAGTAAGATCTGAAGCTCTTCAAGCTGTGAAGGGCTTGAAGAGATGAAGGGCAGGGAAATTTGGCGTCAATCACTATGTTAGTTATTGGTGAAAAATTAAACAAAATGGTTGGGGTAGGTTTGATTAGTTAGTCAAAGAAAGGTAGATGCACGGTTGGTGAGTGTAGACCGAGCGAGGAAGGTTGACAGACTAGTTTAAAAAGTTTTTGTATAAATATTTGTTGGTTCTTCAATTTTCTATTTTCATTTTTTGTTTTTTCTATCTTTAATTTTTTGTTTTTATTTTTTGTTTTAATTTTTTGTTTTTATTTTTTGTTTTAATTTTTTGTTATTCATTTTCAAATCTGAAAATAAGTTCATCCAATCTATTCAGCCGGTGCAACCAACAATACCAGATCCCACGTACAGGAAAGTCCGGATCGAAATCAGCCGGTCCCAGTTGATCTCAATGATTAGTTTGACGAATTCTCTTCTCATTCCCCTATTGGTTGACAACTCAACGACCTTTTTAAAACTATTCACTTTAAAATTGATTTCAAAAAACTGAGACTGAACAGCCGGTTCATTGACCGCCCCAGACAAGGACCGCGAGGTTGTTGACGGGGCTGACGTGGGACCACCCGATTGCCGATCAGACCAAACACAGATTGTTGGATCATTGGTCGAACAGTGTGGGGACCGCCAGGTCATTGGCCAGACTAGACGGGGACCGCTAAGTCGTTGACCAATCCGGATTGGACCGGAACTTTCCAGATCGGGGACTAGACCGGACAAGGACCGTTTGGTCGTGGACGAACAGGGACCGCCGGGTCATGGATCAGACCGGACAGGGACCATCGGGTCATCGACCAGACCGGGACCGTTGGGTCATTGACCGGATTGAACTTGACCGAGGTTGCTCGGCCATCGACCGGACCAGACATGGACCACCGCTTCATTGACTGGATCATATAGGGACCATCGGGTCGTTGACCGGATCAGACTGGAACTGATACCAGAGCGGGATCGAATCCACCACTAGACATAAGTATGCAAATTCACTGCAGCGGCACTACAGCATCCGCATTTTCCAAATTTGGAAAACAAAGACATAACCCATTCTTTTGGTTTTGGTAAACACATTCTTCTGTTTTCCTTTCTCCAGTTTTCCAGCATTTTTTTATAAACATGTTTTGTGTTTTTCCTTTTTCCAGTTTTCCAGTTTTCTGGCAAACTGGAAAATATTTCTGTTAGTAAACAGGTCCTATATTTCTGTCTCTTTGTTATACACATTTTTTGTATCTTAGTACACACGTCTTTGAATAGGTTAATTGTTTAGACAAAACATGTCTGTCAAAAAATTGAAAAACAAAAATGATTATATAGAGAAAGATTTGTTGGATGCCTATTAACGGATCGGGTACGGGCCGAAGCGTAGTCTTTCAGACCCAGAATCGTTAAACTCTATATCACTCCAGACCTAACCCATATACTAGGCGGATCTAGAGTTTATGTTCTGGATCCATGCCCATCGGGTCTCAGAATCGGATCGTCTAGACCCGTCTTATATGCCGAAGATTCGTTGGATGCCTGTCAACAGATCGGATACGGGCCGAAGCGTAGTCTGTTAGGCCTAGACTCGTTAAACTCTATGTCACTCCAGACCCAACCCATATACCAGGCGGATCTAGAATTTATGTTCTGGATCCATACCCATTGGGTCTCGGCATCAGATCGTCTAGACCCGTCTTATATGCCGCTCACATCAAAATATTCTGAAATGAAAAACAAGACATCTAACTATAAAATAAAGTTTTTTTTCTTGAAATATTACTACAATAGCATGTGGACAAAAGCGTGTCTAAAGTGATTACACATATTTTTCATTGTGTGGCATTTGAACACAATTATAGTAACTAAAAATTACTAAATCACGTTTTCAAAAAAATTACTAAATCACATCTTTTTTACTACCCTTGTTTTGATCATATATTTATTAAGTATTATTTCTACAAAATATATAGATACACATATTCTTCACTCTTCAGTAAGCAATAACTATCACTTAGAAGTTGTTCTCTTCATCTGATCTGAATGTTTCTGATCTGAATTTTTTAAGTTCTGGTTTGATCTGATATGAATTTTTCTGATCTGATCTGAATCTTTCTGATCTGGTCTGATCTGATCTAAATCTTTCTGATCTGATCTGAATGTTCCTGGTCTGATCTGAATGTTCCTGATCTGATCTGAATGTTTATGATCTGATCTGAATCCTTCTGATCTGATCTGAATCTTTCTGATCTGATCTGATTTGAATATTTCTAAAATTATAATTATAATTATAATTTTAATTATTATAATTAGAAATGTAATTACACATATGTAATTTAAATATAATTATAATTATAATCATAATTATAATAGGTATAATTATTATTATACGTATTACACTAGTTATAAATATAGCTATAATTAGAGGAAGCGGTCCAGATCAGCTGGTCGCCGACTTACTCTCCCTTATGGGAGGTCTCGGGTTCGAAACTCAATGGGGTGACTTTCAACCTAGTTTACTTCAAGGCCCCCAGACCCCCTCCCCTAGACGGCTCCTGGAGTAAACAAAAAAAACTATAATTATAATTGTAATTATATTTTTAGTTATAATTATTTCTATAATTATAATTTTATTTATAATTATAATATTTATTTCTATAATTTTAATTGTAATTAATCCGTGTAATATAACAATAATAAAAAAACTAATAACAATAACAACAACAACCATAATAGTAATAAGAATAATAATAATCATAATAATAATAATAAATATTATAATAATAATCTTAATAATAATAATCATATTAATCATAGTAATGATGATGATGATGATGATGATGATGATGATGATGATAATAATAATATCAATAATAATAGTAATTATAATAATAATTACAATAATAACAACAACAATAATAATAATAAATTAATAATAATAATAATAATAATTAATATTATTATAATTATTATTATTATAATAAAAGGGATAAATCATGTCTGAACTTTTCTGATCTGATCTGAATGTTCCTGATCTGATTTGAATGTTCCTGATCTGATCTGAATGTTCCTGATCTGATCTGAATGTTTCTGATCTGATCTGAATTATTCTGATCTGATCTGAATGATTCTGATCTGAATCTTTCTGATCTGATCTGATCTGAATAAAATAAGAATAAGCAATCTTTATATATATAAAAGTATAAAAGTAATATGGTGGGATTTCAAGTAGAAATTTTTTCCCGCCCACAAAAATGAATTAATGATGCCTCATAAATGAATCTATATATGGAATTAATGTGTTGTTTAGTTATCCCAATCTTTTTTCTTAAGTGAATGGTCCAACAACTCAACAAGTGCTATTGTTCAAATGTTAAATATAGCCCTTGAATTAATTAATGAGCAACGCATCTTAGTCAACTTACGTTTACTTTTTTATTTGCTTTAACTATTATTGTTTTCTAACATTGATACTAACCCTTAGCTTTAAATGCTTAACATAATTTCCTTTAAATGTGTTATATATGTGTCTTTACAAATGTAAAGTAAAAACTGTGCAAAATACAATAATTAAAACATTCTTTTAAAACATACAATTAAAAGTAGTATACGCAATATTGAAGATATTACTATTCAAAAGAGTTTAAGGATTTAAAGTGAAAACTCCGTTTGACATAAATAATCAAAATCAAGGGGTAACTAATTGACCTTTGAAAATGCAATATTATGGTATAACCTTGAAGATAATAGTTAATTCTCCTTTCCTAAAAAAATTACATTTTCTCAAATTGAACTGAAAGTTACGCTCCATTAAATCAAAAGAATCAAATTAGATTATGATCAGAAATTGATACTAAAAATTACCGAGCAAAAATGAAGCATATTGACATGTGAATGGTAAATTAGGAATGTTTAATTAGTTAATGTATTAATACTCAAAATTACTGAACAAAATTACCGAACAAAAAATTACCGAACAAAAATGAATTAATAAGTCCAATACTCCATCCGTCCCGCAAAGATGTTCCCGCTTTCCTTTTTTGGATGTCCCAAAAAGAAGTTCCCCTTTCCCTAAATGGAAAGTTATCCTACATCAAAATAGTGTCCCTGAGACGAAGAGAGAGTTACTTATTGACCAAAAAATATACGTAGTAATAATTATTTCATTTTAGGGTTATTTGCAATTTTAGTCCCGTAACTTTTGGTTGTTATTGTTATTGGTCCTGTAACTTTAATCACTTGCAAATTTGGCCATTTAACTAATAAATCTTTGCAATTTAAGGACTTTTCCACCAGAAAGTACACTTTTCAGCAAAAAAAAGTGACGCTGGCGACTTCTTTGCCGGTGTATTATTGTCGAAAAGTGTAATTTTCAGGAAAAAAGTGCTTAAATCGCAAATATAAATTGGTTACGGTACCAAATTTGCAGATTTCCCTGTATTTATTAGCAAATTTCCCTTCATCTTTTAAATGAAATTAAAAAATGATTTATAAATGATGCTAGCCAATTGTATCTGCGTGCAATATTATATATTAAGGATATTCATAGGGAAATGATTATTATATTTATTAAGAAATTAATGTATACGAAAAAAATTGGTTTCTTACAAAATAAATTAAAGTGAAAAGAAAACTTTGTTATTAACAAGTTATAATATGGTATTATTATCGCTATCAATAATGAAGTGATCGATTAGTTTCCTATACTAATCAATTACATATGAATAGTATAGGATCGGTATAAATACGATATATATATTTTAATATTGAAGATACTAATATTGAAAAGAGTTTGGGGATTAAAAATGGAAACTCATTTAATTATATTGTTTTGGTCTCACTTAAGAATTAATATGATCATGGAAAGTACAATTTTTGCACTAACGAGCCACAACAATATCTTAAGTAAAATAAAATAAGGAATATTCACATATGTTACCAAAACAAAGGTTTATTTCCAAAAATGTGATCTCTTAAGTGTAATGATTATCATTGTAACTTTAGGTTAGTCATATTAACTTATTGATAATCTTAAAGACCGGGGCAGCAAGATTCAAGTGCGAATGGGGAAATTTGCTATGTATGAATTGAGTAGCAAAACCGACAAAATAACAGTATGCTATAATGAGAGTTTTGGGTCCCCTTTCACA